GAGGTACGGTCCGGCATATTAGACCGTACCCAGGGTACGTTCCGGCAGTACCCTGGGGGACATAGACCCTGAGCTTTAGTATATTATATTATATACATTTATAATACAGTGTATTATATTTTTGATGTGGAGCATGTGAAATAAATGCCAAGATTCTTCTAACCTCTTCGTTTGTTCGAGATGTAACATGAACATGGCACGTACTCACCCGTACATCTAAATGCTGTTTATCCACTTTAGGTGAGAAATGTACGCTACCTCTAAATTTTGTAATTTCACTTGTTGTATATGCTTGTTATCCTATTTCATCTCTTTCATCTGATCAGGAGTGAATAATAATAAATCTTTGATAACAATAATGATCTACTACAAGTCTATTATTCACTTCTGATCTTACTGATCTATTTGTTCGAGATGCAGAAGCAATATCGCATGTAAATCAAACTGCTGTTTAGCCACTTTAATCGGAAAACTCGCTCGCACGCGCGCATGCACAAACACAAACGCACAAACAAACGCAAACAACGTAGAAGTCATGTTTCACAATTTGCTGATTATTTGAATATACATACTGTGGCAGTAACATATAATAAAATAGACTCACAATCACTCGGTAGATCCAGCTTAATTTTCTCGCTCTCTACCCGCGTGCACAGACGCAGCGCGCGCTCGAGAGGAAAAATAACGAAATCGACCGTTAAATTATCTCGACCGACGATCCCCGGATGCTCACTTGTCTCACCGTCGTCGCCGCGACTTAGCAACGTTCCTAGCACCTCATCCTCTCTTCTAACCATCATCATCATCACCATCATCATCATCATCGTCGTCGTCGTCGCCCATTGTTCACGATATCGTCGACTCGTATATACAACGGGCCGAGAGGGGAGCAGGCTCAAACCACACCTTTGCGACGGAGACCGCGTCCCCAGCGTTGCCATGGCAACGGCCCGGCACGCTCTCTCGCGCGACGACGACGATTACAGAACCTCAGTAGCACCCGACGACGACTCGTCGCCGCGGCAACGGCGTCGTCCCACGAGACTCGCCTCCCACTCACCGTTCCATCTACGCTCAGTGATTATATCGTTATTCGAAGCTGTAAACCGTCTAACTGTCTTCGTCCGCCGCCGCTGCGTGCGTCCTAGACTCACGTCTGCCATCAATTCAAGTCTTCGATTTCACACACACACACACAACACCGCGCGCGTACGTCTCAACACCGCGCGGCCGTCTACCCTCGCTCGCGCGCGCCGCGATCTGCGGACGCCCGGCATCTGATGCCGCCGGCGCCCTCTCGCGGCCGGGTCGCGACCCCGCACGCCGCAGCGACGGACGGAGAATCGTCGAGCGCCACCTGGTGGGCTCGTTCGCGCGGCGGCCGCGCCGGTCGAGCCCGCAGTCGCCAAAATAACTTAATCCTCTGTATACACAATTATGCGCGCGCGCGCTCTCTCGTGCCACTCTCTCTCACGCACACACACACACACACACACACGTTCACACACACACACACACACATATGCACGCACGCACGCACGCACGCACGACACGGGCACGCACGCGCGCGCTCAGACAGTCGATACTCCTCTGTATATCTGAACATTACAGAAAAAACTAAAATAGTACAAAAATACCACCGTTTAAAATGCTGTAGTTACTAACTCTTTACAATTTATCACCTTCTGGAGCCGCCCGTCGCCCGCGCCCCGCCTCCGCCGCCGCGGTTCCCAAACGAACAGCCAGGGGGCGCTGATGCGCGCTCGCACCCGCTTCGCCGGAATCGAACCGCGCACGGGCGGCGCCCTCTAGCAGGGGGCGCCGGGATCGCGGGGCGGACGGCTCCCATTTGACTCGAAATCGTTTCCTCCCTCCCTCCTCGCTTCCCGATTCTCCCCGGGCGCGAGGTCCGAGAGCCCCGACGGGGGGCGTCGGGAACCCGGCGATTTTGCTCGCCGCCCTCTCGCCTCGCGCGGCGGGCGTGGTCCCCGGCCCGTGGGAGGGTGGGGTGGGGGGGGTTGTCGGGACTCCCCAGCGACCACGCCCTATCAATGCTCTGTGCGCGCCGGCTCTCTCCATCCGAATTCCTTTCTCCCGCGTCGTTCGCGCACACCACCGAGTCGTGGCCGCGCTACGACAATCCATCCGACATTCTCTCTCTCTCTCTCACTCTCCCTCACATTCCCTTAGGGAACCTACAGATCTTCCGTACGTACTCCTCCCTTTCTGGGGTAACAGTAGGGGGTTCGCCCCGCCCCCACAGCCAACGTGGGGCGGAGCGTGAACCGCTTAGGTGTCTAGTGTTCCACAGTGTTCCTTCGATCCACAGCAGTGTTTTCCTGTTTTAAATATCGGTCGCCAATCGTTACCGTTCCGCGAAACCCATATCCGTTGATGCAAACTATTTGCAATATTATAGTTTTTCATGCCAATATATATACAAGGGGGTGCCTACCCCAAGTGCGCTACAGCGTTACCCTGCCAAGTTTGCCTTCGGGCCACAATCGTTACCGACAAATCGGTAAACTAAACACGGAAATAGATTTGCGACGTCATAGACGCGGGAGCGCTACGCCGGCG